AAGTGTGAGTTCTCCAGCTCTTAATTTTTTTCAGAATTGTTTGCTATTTGGTGTTAACTTGCGTTTCCCTGCGAATTTTAGAGTAAACTTGTCAATTTTGACAAAAATGCCAGCTGAGATTTTGTTAGGGATTACAATAAATCTAAAAATCAATTTGGGGAGTATTTACCATCTTAAGAGTATGAAGTTTTCCAGTCCATGACCATAGAATGTCTTTCCGTTTATTTCGATCTTCTTTATTTTACCAGTGTTTTATAGTTTTCAATTTATACTTCTTTTGTTAAATTTATTCCTAAATATTTTATTCTTTTTGATGGTATTATAAATGAAATTGTTTTCATACTTTTATTTTGCATTGTTCATTGCTTGCGTGGAGAATGACAATTGATTTTTGTATGTTGGTCTTGTATCCTGAAGCCTTGCTGAACTTGTTAGTTAGCTCTAATAGTTTTGTTTTTGTTTTTGTTTTTGTTTTTTAATGTAGAGTTTTTAGGATTTTCTATCCAGAAGATTGTCTTCATAAATAGAATTTTACTTCTTCCTTTCCAATCTGGGGGAATTTTGTTTCTTTTTCTTGCCTCATTACCCTGAGAACTACTAGAATAGTGTTGAATAGAAATGATGGGAGCAAACTTAGACATCCTTGGCTTGTTTCTGATCTTAATGGAAAAATATTTCATCATTAACTAAAATGTTAGCTGTGGTTATTTGTAGATGTCCATTATCAGGTTGAGGAAGTTCCTTTAAATTCTTAGGTTTTTTTTTTTTTTTTTTTGAGAATGTTCATCTTAAAAGGGTTTGCATTTTGTCACATGTGTTTTCTACCTCTGGTGATATGACCATGTGGTTTTTGTCCTTTTGTTTGTTAATGTGGTATATCACATTAAATGGTTTTTGGGTGCTAAGCCAACTGTGATGGTTAATTTTACGTATCACTTTGACTAGGCTAAGGGATGTTCAGATGGGTGGTTAAACATTATTTCTGGATGTGTCTGTGAGGCTGTTTCTGGAAGAGATTGGCATCTGAATAGGTGGACTGAGTAAAGATCACCCTCATCATTGTGGGTGGGCCTCATCCAATTTGTTAAAGGACTGAATAGAACAAAAAGGTAGAGAAAGGGAAAATTTGCTCTCTTCTCCTGAGCTGGAACATCGATCTCCTGACCTTGGACATGGGTGCTTCTGGTTCTTGGGCACTCGGACTCAGCCTGGAATTTACCCCATTGGCCCCAGCTTCTGATTCTTGGGCCACTGGACTTGAACTTACACCACTGACTCCCCTGGTTCTCAGGCCTTCAAACTTAGATTGTATTATACTATCACCTTTCCTGGTTCTCCTTCTTGCAGATCCTAGATCTGCAAATAGCAGATCTAGGCCTTCATAAAGATGTCAGTCATTTCCTATAATACATCTTCTCATATACATCTATGTGTATCCAACTGCTCTTTTTCGCTGGAGAATTCTGGGAATTAACCAAAGACTTGGAATAATACAGCTGAGGTCTATTTGAGAAAGATGACTGAATCTCAGTAAGAACAACAAGCTTTGTGGAGTTTATTTTGTACTATTCTCATCCCCATCTCCTGATATCTATAGTAACCTTGATACAGAAGCCTCACAACCACAGATGTTGAAAACCCAGCAGCTTAGCAGCCACTGGAGGGGGTAACATGGGTTTGGAGCACTCCACAAAGCTCCATCTCCTGAGA